TTACAAGTCGCAGAGTAACAAAGTTTAGAGTAACAAAAATTGCAATATAGTCTAGATTAATTAAGTCAGTAATGAATGCTGATGAAGTCCAAAGATTTTTTGTGAGACAGCCAGAATAATTACTGTCACGAAATAAAATATATCACCCAAACAGCGTGACAAAATATTGTCACAAAAATTTCTATAAATTGTAAGAAACATTTTTATAGTTCCTGCGGTCTCGTGCTTCACTGATCTGCTCTCGAATTCTCCCAAACAAACGCTGAGGTTTTCATAGCGCTATGAAGGCACGGAAAAAAAGTTTTATTTCTTTTATAAAATGACTCTTCTTTTTTCTAAAATATATGTTCTTCCAATAAAAGCGCTGCATCTTACATTCAAGGAATGCGTTACATCTGCCTGAATTTTAAAACAATTTCTCGTGCGCTGTCGACCTGTAGCCAAAAACATAATATCTTGAACGCGTTTTGAAACAAACTAATTTTTTTTTGACCAGGTTAAAATTCATCAATCCAACTGAAGCTTTGCAACAATTTTGTCCATATAGCGATGAAACAACTCATTTAAGAAGAAAAAAATTGGACTCATTTTTTAATTAAGGCTTATGCAGATTATGAAATTTTTTTTCTGTTTATTAGGTAATTTTAGTTTGAACCCTCCCTACCTTGCCATCAATTTTATGTTATGGGCCCCCTCTGGTTTTACGGCTCTCCCTCCTGGTAATTATTGCACAGTCCCTAACGCTTTTATGGTCAAAAACGGCTTATGTTTTTTTGTAAGGAAATATTTATTTTCCTGGAAATATTTTTAAAAAGTATTCCTTGCCTGGAGAGTTTTTTTTTTCCTTAATTTCTCGCTGCCAGCCAGTTGTGACTTACAGTTGGCTGGGACCAACCTCGTACCCAGGGTCTCCCTTCTCGCTATTTTCAAAATGGCGGACCCTCGGGAGGGAGACCCTGGTGAAGGCTGGTCACGTGATACCCAGGAATCGTGCCAAAAAACAACTGAAAAGAAAGTGGAATCGAGTACAAACAAACATGGCGGTTCGATCGAATCAAAACAGAATACTCTGATCTTTTTCTGTTGAATTATTGCCCCAGCTGTACTCTGCTTCATTGATGTTCAATTCAAATGAAAAACAAAGACTTTACTTACATTTACAACTCCATTGAAATGTTTTTCTTATGTTTGTCCAACCAAGAGTGGAGGTTCTCCTTTTCCAGGGTATGATTTTCTACAAATTCCTAGGATGACGAGCTTCTGGCCATTCAAGACCTGAGGAGGTTAAAACCATTAAAGAAGTCACAGAAGTTTCCAGGACATTGGAGTTTCAGCCCAATAGACAATACAGACTGCGACCCGAGGTCTGGCTTAAGCGAAGGACTGTTAGGAAAATGTTTTCCACCTCCGGTATATCTTCTTCAGATCTCGAGGCACACACAGGAACTGACTTCGAAAACATTAGCAGGCCATCTTCTTCAGATCTTAAGGAGATTTATTCAAGGAGCCCAATCTATCTTCTTCATCATTGACCAAGGACAAAAGTCAACATCAAACTGTAGAGACTTATGATTGTGTGGATATCGAAGGACAAATTGGAGCGACTTTCTTCTTCTGATCTTGTGATTTCACGTTGGCGTGCCCGAGTGACAAAATTGCGATCACTGTGTAAAGTGTATCACGACTATGCAGAGGTATTTGACGAATTCTGTGTACTTCAGTAAGAGGTTTAATTGGCCGATAACAAAACGAAAAGGGGACTGGGTCCGAACTCCAAAATCAAATTAAATAATGGTTCCAGAAAGAATAACCCCATCATGTGAGAGAGCACCTTATAAAATGCTTACTGACTAAGTTTCATTATGTTTGAACTTATAGCAATAAAGTTACGAACATTCAAACCATGCCAAAATTACAAAGAAATGTATGTTGTCTAGCCAAAGCGTCCAGCCAAACATACATTCTTTGTAATTTTCGAAATTTTTGAAAAATTATATTCCCAATTCTAATGACTTAAACTTGCTCAAACTTTAAAGTTTAGCTAATTTATAAGTGCTTTGTCTATCGACAACAGATTTCCGTAAGATTGTATCAGTAGTAGGCACTGCATGATTCGACCCCCGTCCAGTAGGTGGAAGGTGGTAGGTGGATAGGTGGGTATGCAAATGAGGAAAAAGTGATAGGGGAGGGGTGGTCAAAACGAGTAGGTGGTATAAATTATTTTAGTAGGTGTGTATGCTAATGAAGTCAAAAGTGATAAGGGAGAGGTGGTCAAAACGA